ATAAATATAGAGAGAAATCAGACAAGAAAGGAGCTAGACATAAGAACAGAACTGAAGCTGTGTATAAAGGATGTTATGCCAGAGGAATTAAAGCAAGTGGACTATAGAACTTGGTGTGCTGAGATTCAATTTACAGAAAATAGTCCTCGCCGTTAGTAGTTCTCTCTCCTGAGCCCCTGGGATGTATAATATTAAGGCTGGTTCCACTAATATTATACAAGATCCACCATGGCTCCAGGGACTTGCGTTGATGCCTCCAGATCAGGACCCAGTCTCCAGGCTTGAAACTGTGAGGCTCACGGAGGGAGGAGGATGAGTACAGGGCCCGCAAGTGAGGCCAAATGTCTTTCTGCTCTCGGGACAGAGTTTTTAGGCTCTCAAGAAGGTCTGCCTCTTCTGGTGGCAGAATCAACTCAGTCTGGAGGCTAGGCACAAGAGGTGGAGGCAGACCATACATTATTTCAAAGGGTGTCATCCCCAGCTGATGAGGGGAGTTCTTTACACGGAACAAAGCAAAGGGGAGAAGAGTCACCCAGTCACCGCCAGTCTCTAGGGCTAATTTGGTTAGAGTCTCTTTTAGGGTCTGGCTCATTCTTTCGACCTGGCCTGAGCTCTGGGGTCTGCAACCACAATGTAGTTTCCACTCAGTCCCCAATGCAGTGGCTATTCCCTGATTTACCTGTGAGATGAAGGCTGGGCCATTCATTGTCTGACCCGATCATGTGTGGGAAGCCAAACCTGGGGAGGATTTCTTCCAGTATCTTCTTGGCCACCACATGAGCTGGTGCTTCAGTCCATTCTGAAAAGGTGTGTACAAGAACCAGCAGGTATTTATATTTACCTGGTGTGATCTCTGTGAAGTCTATTTCCCGTACGTACCTGGGCGAGTCCCTCTCACACGGGTGCCCCTTTCTCCTTTTGTTTTGTAGATGTTTACCAGTTGGCAAGCTTTGCACTCCGTGACAATTTTGTCGATCATGGCTGGCCTGTCAAATCTTCAGTGGGGACCCAGAGATCAATTCTCTCAGCTTTCAAGTGGGAGGTCTGATGAATTCTTATGAGTACATGCTTTCCTAGTAATCTCAGTAGCAGTATTTTTCCTGAAGGTAATTGCCACCAGCCATCCTTCTTGTATGCTCCTTCTAATTGACTAGCTCAGGCCTCTTCATCTGAGTTGTATTTTGGCAGCAAGGGCAGGTTGCGAGGGCTTGGGTCAGTCAGGACAGGTAGGGCTACAGTGCTTGTAGCCGCCTCCCTTGCTTTTTGACCTGCCAAATTGTTTCCTTTTGAAACCACATCTGTCCCCTTTTGATGTCCTGGACAGTACATCACTGCTAGCTTCTTGGGGAGCCAGAGTGCTTGTAACAATTTTAATATCTCTTGTTTATTTTTCATAGTCTTTCCCTCAGCACTCAGTAGTCCCCTTTTCATGTATATTGCCCCATGGATGTGTAAGGTAGCAAAAGCATACCTACTATCCGTGTAGATGTTGATCTTTTTGTCTTTGCCCAGGCATAAAGCTTTTGTCAATGCTATTAGTTCGGCCTCCTGGGCTGAGGTGCCAGCCGGTAGGGCTTCTGCCCAGACCACCTCCCAGGTGGTGGTGACTGCAGCCCCCGCATACCTGTGTCCATCCTGTACAAAGCTGCTCCCATCTGTGAACCAGGTTTCCTCCACGTCTGTCAGTGGTGTGTCACGGAGGTCTGGTCGAATGCAATGCACTTGGGAGAGAATCTTGTTGCAGTCATGTAGGGGGGCCTCTAGGTCTGGATCAGGTAGCATAGTGGCTGGATTGAGGGCAGCGGGCACCTGGAACGTTATTCTACCTGGGTTTAGGAGTAGAGCTTGGTAATGAGTCACTCTGGTGTTACTCACCCACCTGTCAGGAGACTGCTTTAGAACCAACGCCAGGGCATGTGGAGTAGCCACCACGAGGCTTTGCCCCAAAGTGAATTTGTCTGCATCTTTAACTAACAAGGCCACGGCAGCAATGATGTGTAGGCACAGGGGCCATCCTGCTGCCACAGAGTCCAATTTCTTAGATAAGTCGGCCACCGGCCTCCTCCAAGGCCCAATGCTCTGGGTCAGCACCCCTTTGCCACTCCCCTATTTTCATCTACATTCAGGAGAAAAGGCTTGTTGATGTCAGGGAGACCCAGGGCTGGGGCTTCTAGTAATTTTTGCTTAATGATGTCAAAGGCAGTCTGCCTTTCAGAGTTCCACGTCAGAGTCTGTTCTTTTGTGGCCTCATAGAGGGGGCGAGCAATTTTAGTATATCCTAGAATCTACAGTCTGCAAAACCCTGTAGAGCCTAGAAACTCTCTGACTTGCCTTACCGTCCTAGATATTGGTATTTTTTAAAATTTAATTTAATTTTTTTTAAATGCTGAATGCCATTTATTGAAGGAGGGAGGAGGTCTTAAATACAGGCTTACAACACAATGGGAGGACCCCAGAGGGCAGAAGTTCGCTACCCATGTCTTGCAGCTATGCTGTTAATGCCCATTATGCAGGATACACAGACAAGGAACTTCCCTTAAGCATTCAGGAGGGTATAACCTGGCAGGGAATTAGCATAGGGAGGATATCAAGGTCAAGGTCAGCAAGCAAGACAACAGTTACCCAAAACAGGGACCAGGGACCTACAGGTCCCCCTTTTACTAAAAAATGAGCTTCTGACTTAGGTTGTGTGAGACATCAGCAGGTCACCTTACCTGTCATGGAGACGCCTGCCCAGGCCACACAGGTGCTCTGTCTTAGGTTGGTGAGCGCCCCCCAGGAATTACCCGTCTCTGAATACTCATTATCATACAGGTTCAGTCATGTGTGAGCTGCAGAGTTAACTGCTGCCAAAGATCTCAAAGTGGCACTGGTCTTGCAATCTGTGTGTTTGACACAGAAAAGACCAACAGAAGTCCTAACCCACCCATAGCCAGTAGGCTAAAGGCAACTGAGCCATTCCCTTCCTTAATGAGCCTTACTGCAAATTGGAGTCCTTGTAAGATGGTATCCCAAAAGCAAATGGAACTCGCGTTTATAAATTTATAATTTTCAAAGTCAATTGAAATGTATATAACTATTGAATTAAATTTATCATGCCCAATAGAATTAAAGATTAACTAACTGTGGTAGCTATTTTTGCTGCCAGGGTCTCCACTGTGCTAGCTGTAGTAAACAATTATGAAATGGTAATCCCAGAAACAGTAGCAGTGGTGGCCGCCTCTGCTATAACAGCAACAACGGCAGCAGCAATGTCAAATTCTCTTTTGGAGTGTGTGGGCATCCACTGGCATGGATACAACTCCAGGAACACAAACTGTCAGACCCATTTTTCTTGATCCCAGCCCAACTTAAGCTGGCAGCTCTGCAAAAGAATAATTAAGAACCATAAAGAAAAAACAGGCAGCTCACAAGGAGCATAACTAATGGTCTTATAATGGCTACATTCAGGCTCATGAATTTTAAGGTATCTTCAAAGGGAGCTAAATGAATTTCAGGAGGCCAATAAATGTT